TATTGTAGGGTTGGTTGATAACCCTGTGGAACCTTCCCCTTCTGTGAGGATGAGAGTGGAAAATGGGATAAAAAGGGTGTGAGATGAGAGAATGGAGGATAATGGGAAGGCTTCTATCAGAATGAAAAATGAATAAATATATAAATTAATGGAGAAAAAACTTTTAGCTTATGTATAAAATTTATCTCAACATTCCTATATATATATATATATATATTTCTATATATCAGGATTTGTAAACGCTTTGGGTTTGGTTTAAAAATTGTAAAATTGTCAACAAAATGTCAGGTTAAAATTTGAAGAAAAATGATTGATGTCTAAAAAAGTACAACATGCTTGTTTGTGATGTGCATTAAATTCATATTTAGAAAACTAAACCTGTTAAAGTATAGTGTATATGTTATGTGGATACTATTTCTGTGTCTGGAAAATAGAACTTACTAACATCAAACGTTTGACCAAGGTTAATAAATTCTTAAGTTCATAAATGTCTATTCACTTTAACAGAAACTGACTTAGAGATGTATGTCTATGTTTATAAGTGTCTAAAAGCTCACATATATCTCTTCTAATTGTGTACAATCTAAGCTTCTTGAAGATCCTAGGTAAGGAACAACGATTGTTTAATGACTAAGGTATGTTTTATAAATACGGTCTTTTGGAGGTTGTTCTGATGTGTGTTACTGGCACTAAAGATCTGTTAAACCTATCTTTGTTTTGAAAACCTGCCTAAGACATACATGATTGTTTGATTAAATGTCCTATATCTGGGCATGGTAGAATGGGTTAGGCATGGCAAAGGTTCTGGGGCTTCTGGGAAAGGAGAATCACATAGACAGATGGTTGGGAAGCAAGGAGGAAGGAGGATACCATGATGGGGTAGAATGGAGAAAATACCATGTGGGCTGAGGAAGGACTCTAATAATGGCATGAAAAGGCTCATATGTAGAATGCTAGTATGTACAATGGGATTATAGATGGAAGGCGCCCAGATGAGGAGGATTAAGTTGGAAGGCATTGGATGGGGGCTGGGAGATGAATGGTGAGGTTATTGAGGCAGCATATGTGAAATATCTGTCTGGCCCAAAATAAATAAGGCAATTATAAAATCTAACCAGTATCTGTGTCTTATTTGTGATACTGTGTTAAATAATACCACAGTGATAGTGTCATTGCAAATAATAATAAATGGTATAGAGCCCAACAATCATTTTTTTAAAATTTTCTGAAACAAAGATCTATAAATTCCTAAGGTCTATCCAGGATACCAGAATTTTACATGAAGATGTAAATAGAACCTCTCTGTCTTTTCTTAGTATGTTAATGTTTAACTATCTGGATAAACTGAGTCATATAAGAAACTAATATTCTTTAAGATACACTACAAATGGATCTGGAAAATGACATTCCTAATCTTTCTGTGAACTATTTATGTTTTAAGGTTCTATTTTGTAAAAGATCTTGACCTAAATCTTCAAATGAAAATGTTAAGGCTCAAATTTACCATGGGTAAAAGCACAAAAGTCTAATCTTAAAAGCTGTGAACTTGTTGAAAACTGTAAAAGATAATTAATATTCTGGATAATGGTCAGACACCTTACAAATGGCTAAATACTTTAACATGTTCAGAGGTAGGCTTATCATCATTCACAGTATAAACATAATGCCTATACAGAGAAAAAAGTGTCTGTGTGTCCAATCAAGGACAAACCTTACACAGGTAACTAAATATCAGTGGTTTATTTAATATAAAATATGGTTAATAAATTAGATATTGTTCCCCAAACCCTTCAGAGAGTTCTTCTAAATATGGATTCAAGAAACCTAAAGAAAAAGTCTCCCTCTGGTACACAAAAATATACACTTCCAGTCAGAAGCTAAGGCAATTCACAAATACTATGGGCAGAAACGGCCTTTGTATTGATCATATTTGAACTGTAGTAATGCTGACAACTGAACTAAGAATTGACATATGCTTGACACACCATTATATCCCTGACCAACCTCTGGACACTGTTGAGTTGAATACCCTAATCTGCCTGGCCAAGACAGGTTAGTTTTCCCAAGTTCCTCTTCCATAAAACATCTCTCAGACCTTATGGGTCTGGTTCTTGAAAGCTGTTGATTCCTTATGTTGCAGCTGAAGTCTTAATGTTGTTTGGGTGACATCCAAAGAACCTCTGCTCACCACAAAGTATTTGAACACCATGGAGGAACCTAGACTGGGTGCCCAGGTATCAGTCTTTTTGACTGGTATAGAGGCCATTTGGTTTATACTACATACTCAATTTAACCCTCTGAGATCTCTGGTGGTGTTGACAGCAAGTTGTCACTATAGAAGTTGAACAGCAATCAGGAAACTTTAGGCAGATCTTTAAAATGAGGCTGCAGAAGCATGGCCAGTCCATATTATATGTGACAATCAAGCCTTGTTCTTTCTACAGCTAGTAGGTCACCTGCTGAAGGAGGCATTATGCCAGATAGGTTTGCCTTGCTTACAGGCATCACACTGAACAACATAATCACACAAAAATAAATATATATGAAAGTCAAACTAAAGCTATCATGTTATTAATATCTATCAACTTAATTGTTAGAATTTTTATTTAAAACAACTTGCTTTTCAAGCACTGCTTAATTAACAGAGTCTCCTGGTAAATGGTTGGGGGAGAACAAAGGCTTTAAACCTGACATGAAATTAATGGTGGGCTCTTTGACCTCCCCATCCCTGAAGGGAGAAGCAGCCCTGCTAGGCCACAGAGGAGGACTTTGGAGCCAGTCCTGAAGATACCTGATGAAACAGGGTCAGATGAAAGGGGAGGAGGTCCTCCCCTATCAGTGGACTTGGAAAGGGACAGAGAAAAGATAAAGGAGGGAGAGTGGAATTGGAATGGAAAGAGAGAACGGGGTACAACTGGGACACAAAGTTAATAAAATGAAACTAATAATAAAAATAAATAAATAAATATAATAAACAAAAACTTAATACAAATTTTTACTGTCTAAAACAGTGAATGATGGTACCTAAATGCAAGTTGTAAATATCTGAGACAGTGGTTTAAGGTATGAGAAAATGAAACTTAATAATTTCAAAATGTCAAAGTTTTAAAACATTAATCAGTGGAGTTCTGATATCCTATGAAAACCACCTGATGAAAGATGTGGCTTCTGTTTTCATAGTTACAGAATCTCATTTTAATGTCCTATCATTGTTCTAAAGACACAGCACTTCTCATTGTGCAGAAATCTTATCTTTCATTACATATATATAGACAGATGTGAGTCTGTTCATTTTTCATGACTTTAGCCCAGAACCACCCTTTTTTGATCTCTAAGCTTTAGGTATATCTGTAAATGATGAATCTAACCCAGCTGTTTACAGACACTTGCTTTTCCTACAGTGAGGATTACAGTGTGTGTTCTGGATGGTGTTCATATTAATATATTTGAAATGTTCATCTCCTTTAATAAAGTTTTAAAACATATTTTAAACTTCAAGGAATTGAGACTTACTCCCCCTAACACAGGTCAAACAAATTCTAGATTAAGACTTATGACAATTAATGATTCATACTTTCTGTCTCTTGCCTATCTCTGAGGAGGGATTCTTTTCTTTCTCTGGTCTTGGGACTCTTTCTACCTCCCGATGTAGGGGGCTAATGAAATATAGTTTCTCCCTCTTGTGAAAGCATTTGTGAGAGTACTTAACTTGCAAAATAAATCAGGCATCCTAGGATTTTTCTCTTTACATACTCCATAACAATCCAACTACAAGGACCACAGGCTTATAGGTTTGTTTCCTGCTCACAGAGAGTTGCATAGAATGAGCCTTCCAGAAGATACTTCTCAGTAAAGTTTCATCCTAAGCCAGAATCGTTACTCAAGTGAACAAATATGCTAAGTATACCATTAATGGAAAAACAGGAAATATGGAAAACCCAAATGACTCCTCCATAATATCATACATAACCATCAAATGAACACAAATGTACTCAGAAAGATAAAGTGGCCAATGAATACTTCAGAAAGTAAAGAGGTGAATAACCCAAAGGGAGATGAAATCAAACAGTGAATTTGACTGGGCATTGAGACAAGAATCAACAGTGCACAGGAGAACTTGGATGTGGGATCAAAAAGAGGAATACAAATAAAACATTCAGTACCAAAAAAGACAAATCCTAAGACAAAATTCAGATTCTAGAGGAGGAGGACAAATGTTAATATTGGAAATGAAAACTACTAAGCCCCCAATCACACCACAAGACACTGTTTCTAGCAGAACTAAGTAGACAACAGAATATCATGCATAAAGGACATGACTTTCAGAGCATTGCATTAAAGTATCTGTGAGAAATAAATAAGCCATAACTATGACTGCAGTGTCCAAACTCTGAGACACTTTAAAGAAACTAATGCCAGAGAATGTGAAACAGTAGATGCTGAGATTTGTATTAAGGAGATGGGGATACTCAACTTCATTTTAGCTGAAATCTCCAAATCTGGGGAAATAAACATTCAAGCAAAAGATACTTAAATGCCCAAATAAATGTGCACAGAGTAGAAAATTACCTTGACTTTGTATGCTACAGCTTTGTATGGCTTTTTATGCTACAGCTGCTTCCTACTGTTACTTCGGGTTCTTAGACTGTGCACAACCAATGGTTCTCATGGCAAACCCACTCATAAACTGAAGCAAAGTCCAGACATTAGAATGTGGGTCACAGTGCTGAGATATTAGAGTCAATGTGTCAAAAATATATAAGCCTGATCATGGAATTCTACAATGAAGCAAACATAAAAGGTGGTGGATTCTCTCATTGATTTCTTCCTCTCTGGACATAGGAAGAGAAATATAAATATTTGTAGATGTGTAATGAGGGAGGACAGTTTGAAACTGTTTTTTACATTTCTCTGTATGTAGTTCAATATTGTCAATATGTTCACAGAAGAGCAGGCACTGTCTTGTAGCCACAACACCCACTGCACATTCACATAAGTACGCACAGAAAGACTTTCCATAGCAGACTTTGTTCACTGTCAAAAATATTCATGAAGTTGATGGGTGCTTCTACTGTGGTGTAAATGGGGATAAATGCACCTAGGATTATTTCTACCTTAATGTATGTGTTGGGCTGCTGCCAGTACTCAAAACAACTGTGGGGAGTCCCCTCCATTGATGTAAATGGAGATTGCAGGAGTAGTAAGAGACCTAGCAAAGGAAAGGACATGTCAGGGTCTTCACAACACAAAGACAATGCACTGCATCTATGTTGATCCAAGGAGATTATTTGCTTCGGACATGCAGCAGTCTCAGACCTCAACCTTGTCCAAGAAGTCTGTCCAAGAAGCTACAGCTGCTTCCTACTGTTACTTCGGGTTCTTAGTCTGTGCACAACCAATGGTTCTCATGGCAAACCCACTCATAAACTGAAGCAAAGTCCAGACATTAGAATGTGGGTCACAGTGCTGAGATATTTCTTTAACTTTAACCAGAGTCACTCTGAATTTCCTGGCTTTCCTTTATTCTATTTTCTTCTCATACCTGTGTTCTGTGGATCCCATAGCCCTGGGACTCTGCAGCTGCATCCTCAATGTGGGTGAAAAATATGTTTGGTTCTTTCTTTCTTCCCCAACCTGCATGATTTCATCATGGTTCATAGTGACTTTGAGAGTCCCATAGTCTGAAACAGAATTGTAGCTCATCTAAAACTAGCTTGTTTGTTTTGGATTGCTGTTGTTAAACGCAGTTTGAACAGGTGATTTTAAAATATAGCTGTATTCCACAAAACTGCACTTAAAATAGTCCAAGATTGGCAAATGGTGGTGTCAGTCTCTTGTGTCTGCCATTCAAAAACACAATAGCCATGTATCTATTTGACTCCCTGATCTGTTGTCTTCTCTTTTCACCAATAATTATAAAGCTCTTTTTTAAAAAGTAAAGAAATTACAGTCAAGTACACATGATAATTTCCTATATCACCCATTCATAGTATTAAGATACTCAAGCATTAATCTCATAATCTGTGTTCTGCTAATAGCACACTCATGTACTCTACAATTACATTTTTAAGTAAATCCGGTGTTGTATTTTGAAGCACCAAAACAATCCAAAAAGTCACAAAAGTCCAGGAAAGCATGATCTTTATTTGAACTATGCATCAAAAACTGACAAGTCTGGGACAAAAGCACAAATTTGGGTACTGACTGATTTTCTGAACATTCCTCATAGTAAATATGTAAGCAGATGACAAAAATCTTACTTCATTCTGGCCACTGATCAATTAGGGCTTCAGAACAGACTTTGTAGCTGAACTGCAATGCTAAAGTGAAATTGTACAGCATTTTTATAGGATGGAACTACAAATCAAGGGTGAGTAGGGAAGGCTGTAGCATTTTCCAATCATATTTTGACAGAGAGCTTTGATCAAGGAAGTAAACACTGGTGACTGAGCCCTATCCAGGACACATGATTTCTGGGTTCTTGACTAAGCTTTTGCAATCACATCCCCTCCTGGCCTTACAGGAACTAAGAGAGGAAAAGCTGTTCATAATCAATTTAAGTCATGACAGGCAACACATTTACAACTTGTGTGCCTCAGTTTAGATGATCAGCAACTTCCCTCTTTACTTTCTTTTCCTGTTAACAGACAAATATGAAACACCAGAGAAGAAGGTTAAGAGTTGGCTCTGGAGCCTGGAACCATGAACTCAGTTTTCACCCTGCCAGCAAGAAGCAGCTTGTTCCTGAGATGGCTTGACTCTGGCAACCATCTACTAACAACTAAAAATAATACTTTACTTCTATACTTTTTTTTTGCTATTCTTTAACACTGTTTATCATAAATATGCTGGATATAATTTCATGGTTATATTATATATTACTGTTACTATAATACAATGTATACAGTATAATACAAACAAAATTTTGAAATGTTGCTTGTGTAAAAACAGTTTATGAAAAAGTGGCCATGAATTTTTAAAAGACCAAAAAGTGTTTGCTGGAGGCTTTGAAGAGAGGAAAGTGAAAGAAAAATGATTTATTTATATTTTTAATATAGAATTAATATATAAATAAATAAAAGAGACATGCCCAGGAGATCCTCAAATGACAGGAAAGTCACTGACATGGGCAGGCAGTGGTTTCTCTCAGGGTTTGGGTACTCTTGACTTGGGACAGATTTAGGGTTAGGGTTGGTTATGGTTAGGGTTAGGGTTGATGCACTCCTGCTGATCTCTGAGGAGGAAGACAATCAAAATTTCAGCTTGCACTATTATTTACTAATTGAACATTTAATTCATCAGAGTGCTTTCCAATGATATGTGTAGCTTCATGATAGTGCCAATATCATGAACTCTTTATAAATTCCCAAATAGAAATATTTGACTTATTCCTTGCTGACTTGTATGCCCTTGATCTCCTTTAGTTGACCTCCTTTAGTTTTGAGGTCCCATTTAATAATTGTGGATTTTAGAGCCTGAGCAGTTGATATTCTGTTTAGGAAGTTGTCTCCTGTGCCAATGAATTCAAGGCTGTTCCCCATTTTCTCTTCTAACATATTTAGACTAACATAATCTAACATATCTAACATAATCCACTGTTATAGTGAGGTCTTTGATCTACTTGGCTTTCAGTTTTTTTGCAGGGAGATAAAAATGAAGTATTTCATTTTTCTACATGCAGAGAAACAGTTAGACCAGTACCATTTGTTGAAGATGCTGGTTTTTTGTTGTTGTTGTTGTTGTTGATGTTTATTAATTGTGTGGTTTTGGCTTCTGTCAAAAATCAATTGACCAAAGGTATATGTGTTTATTTCTGGGTCTTTGATTCAAATCCATTGATCAACCACTCTATCTTTATGCCAGTAGCACGCAGTTTTTATTACTATTGCTTCGTAGTATAGCTTGAAGTCAGGGGCAGAGATAACTCCAGACGTTCTATTATTGCATAGATTGTTTAAACTATTCTGTTTTTTTTTTTCTTCCATATGAAGTTTAGAATTGTTCTTTCAAGGTCTGTAAAGATCTGTGTTGGCATTTTGATGGTGATTGCATTGAATCTGTAAATTGCCTTTGGTAAGATGGCCATTTTTACTGTGTTAATCCTCTGGATCCAGGAGCATGGGAGATCTTTCTATTTTCTGATATCTTATTCACTTTCTTCAGACACTTGAAGTTCTTTTCAAACAGGTCTTTTACTTGTTTGGTTGCAGTCATATCAAGATACTTTATAGTATTTGTTTTTATTGTGAATGGTGTAGTTTCCCTAATTTCTTCCTCAGATCATTTCTCATTGTGTACAGGAGGGCTACTGAAGTTTTTTTTAATTAATCCTGTATCCAGCTGCTTTGCTGAAGCTGTTTATCAGCTGTAGAAGTTCTCTGGTGAAATGCTTGAAGTCACTTATATACATTAACATCTCATCTGCAAATAGCAATATTTTGACTATTTCCTTGATGATTTGTATGCCCTTGATTTCCCTTAGTTGTCTTGTTGCCCTAGCTGGAAATTCAACCACTATTTTGAAGAGGTATGGAAAGAGTGGATATCCTTCTCTTGTCCCTGATTTTAGTGAAATCGCTTTGAGTTTTTCTGCATTTAGTTTGATGCTTGCAATCAGCTTGCTGTATATAGCCTTTATTAAGTTTAAATATGGACCTTGTATCCCTGATCTCTCTATAACTTTCATCATGAAGGGATGTTGGATTTTTGTTAAAGGCATTTTCTGCATCTAATGAGATGTTCATGTGATTCTGCATCCCTCAGATGATGCCTACTTGGTCATTTTGGATGATGTATATGATGTGTTCTTGGGTTCAGTTTGTGAGTATTTTAATGAGTATTTTTCCATCGATGTTCATGCATGAAATTGGTCTGAAATTTTCATTCATTTTTGAGTCTGTGTGGTTTAGGTAACAGGGTGACTGTGGCTTCTTAGAATAAATTTGGCAATTTTGCTTCTGTTTCTATTTTGCAGAATACTTTGAAGAGAGTTGGTATTTGCTCTTCTTTGAATGTCTGGTAGAATTCTGCGCTAAAACTGTATGGACCTGAGATTTTTTTGGGGGGCGGGGGAGAGGGTTTGGGAGATGTTGATGACTCCTTCTATTTCCATAGCGGTATAGGACGGTTTAAACTGTTTCCTGATTTTGATTTAGCTTTCGTATGTGAAATCTATAAAAAAAAATCATGTTTCTTTATCCCAATTTGTGGAATACAGGCTTTTGAAGTAGGATCTAATGATTTTTTTCTATTTCCTCATAATTTGTTATGTCACCCTTTTTGTTTCTGATTTTGTTAATTTGGATACTCTCCCTCTGCCTTTCAGTTAGTTTGGCTAAGATTTGTCTATCTTGTTGATTTTCTCAAAGAACTAGTTGTTCATTTTATTGATTCTTTGTTCCAGTCTCTTTGTTTTCAATATATAGATTGCAACCCTGAGTTTGGAATATTTTCTGTCCACTACTCCTTGGTGTGTTTGCTTTCCATGAAAGCTTTTTGAGAGCTTTCAACAGTGCTACTATATTACTCGTATGGGATAGCTCCAATTTTATTATAAAGGCACTAAATGCTATAAGCTTTTCTCTTACTATTGCGCTCATTGTGTCTCATAATTGTGGGTATGTTGTGTCTTCATTTTCATTGAAAACTAGAAAGTCTTTATTTTCTTTCTTTGTTTCTTTCCTGACCCAGTAGTCACTGAGTAGGGTTGTTCAATTTCCAGATTTTGTATCCTTTCTGCTGTTTCTCTTGTTGTTGAGTCCAGCTTTAATCCATGGTGGTCTGATAAGATTCAGAGTTATTTCAATCTTCTTATATCTGCTAAGGCTTGCTTTGTGACTGAATATATGTTCAGTTTTAGAGAAGGATCCATGAACTGCTGAGAAATGTTTTGTAGATATCTTTTGGTCCATTTGATTCATGATATCTATTAGTTTCTTTATTTCCATATTTGGTGGAACTGTCCATTGAACATAAAGATATGTTCAATATCCTTAGTCACCAGGAAAATGGAAATCAAAAGTAGTTTGAGATATAGTCTAAAAAGAGTCACAATGGCTAAGAATATTCATATATTGCTAGGAGGACATACATGTTTAGCCACTAAGGATATATTTGGGGATGTTCCTCACCAGGATTTGTTCTGCATCAAGAACCAGCTATACCAATGTTGGTCATACATCCAAAGATGCTTCATTCTACCACAGAGAGATTTGTTCAAACATCTTTA